CCAAGACACAGACTACATGCAGCAACTGCAACAAGTACATCTGTGCTATACACATGAAGAAGTTCTGTACATCATTCCTAAACGGACTTGCCCATTGACTCACATGATCTTCTGCAGCGTCACTTCATCAATATATTTTTCGGATATACTGTATTTTATGAATAGTGACTGTTAATTGTTTTTATTTGCTTTGTGTTTATATCTGTTCTATGTAATTTATAAGGATGTTTCATTCTCTCTATATTTCACAGCCAAATACTTTTGGATGTGTGGTTCTTGTGTTCCAATTGCTGATAAATTGCTTTATTTCCTTCAGGGCTTTGATTATTATATGACAGATTAAAAATAATAAACATTAATGAAAACAAATTTCATTTACATTTGTCCAAGAAAAGCATGAGCAAAATGTAAACCTAGTTTTTAGAGTATTTTTTTTTTAACATAAATTACATTTTTATCACAAAAAGTGATGGACACTTCCATTGTTACATTTGATCTAGCAAAGAGTATTTTCAAAAAACAATCATATATTTCATTTATATTGTTGGGGAATGAGTTAAAGACAATAAGGAATTGTGCATGTTGAATTTAGTTCTGTATTTTTTTTAAACCCTGAAATATGTCCCGGAAACATTACCAAAGGGTGCAAAATGTGAACATAACACAAGGGTTAATAACATTCATTTTCTGGGCTCAATATGTGTCTTAGCTGTTCTCGTTGTGAAAACAAATGGACCGTAGACGGATTGACCGTCCTCATCTGCGCTCTTATTTTGAAAGACAACTTCCGGTAGCAGAATGTGAAAAAAAGTGGGTTTTTTTGTTTCTGTTTTCTAGTGATTTTATTTTTTGTTTTGAGAAGCAGAAAATGAAAATCATCCCGTTTTTTAAGTTTAATCAATCCTTTTTTGACCATGATAAAGAAAAACGCCTTGTATTTCAATTTTGGTTTTTCAATTTGAAAACGAAAATCAAATATCCAGTCGTTTTTTGTTTTTGAATATCCACTTGTGAAAAGAAAATCCAATGACCAAAACATACACTGACCTAATATCAATTTATTCTACTGTTACATTCATTGTTAATTAACTCAAGCAGTAATTATTATATTACAATGAGTGTAACAGTAGCATTTAGCTGACGCTTTTATCCAAAGCGACTTACAATAAGTGCATTCGACCAAGACGATACAAACTGGACTCTAGAATAAGTTGAAAAATAATGAGTTAAGATCTGTAAATGCAGCGATAAGGTATTGTATCACTCTGTCTGTTTTCTCTCAGATCCGTTATGACGTGTGGCGGCGAGTGCTGAAGACGTTCTGGTCCGTGGTGGTCGGGTACTCCATGGTGGTGTTGATCGCCATCTACATGTACCAGTTCAGAAGCGTGTCCGGGCTGTTCAAACAGATCATGGGCATGTCTGAGGAAGGGTGAGCTTCTTTTTTTAATGGTCTTTTTGAGAATGAAGCAAGAAAATTCATGATTCATCAGACAGCAGACCTTTCTTGTTTGTTATAATGTCAATACATCTGTTTCTTCTCAGTCTTCGTGACATTGGTTTGGAGCGTTACGACACAGTGGAGCTGTTTGCACGTATCCTGCTTCCTGCTGTGTTCCTATTGGCCTGTATACTCCAGCTGCACTACTTCAACTCAGACTTCCTGACTCTCACTGACCTCGACAACGTCCCCATCAGAGAGGCTCCCAGGTGAGAAGGCAATATGCGCAGGCACAGAAAAGAATGCCCTAAAGAAATAAAAGTGTCACTAAATAAATTTGGCAAGCAGAAATAAGATCATTTATATTAAGAGTTTCTATAGGAAAAGCACAACATCAGTTTTTCAGAGTTATTTATATCTGGTCATTATTAGACAGTAATGTGGAGCATTTTCTACTGATCTTTTATTTTTATTTATTTAAAAAATAGTACAAATAAAGAAATTAATTCCTGAGCCTGCTTCATGAACGGTACTATTTATACCATGCTTTCTTGAATGCTAAAACAAACAATTTCTGTTGTCTTTGTATTTAACAGCAAAACATAACTGCTTGTCTCATTTGTATTTGATTGTCTCCTTTCCTCCTCCCAGAGAAGAAGAGCTCAGGATTTCAGTGAATGTGATATCTGAGACGTAAGAGATACATTTATTCCTACATAAATGTTTTGAGGCCCTCACATTTCAGATGGCCCATCACAATGATCATATCTCACACAGTTGATGTATTGCCTGTAGATATACAGTAATCAATTTTTAGTCAGTATACTAGCTATACGTGGTGTAAATGTATTACCTAGGAAACATTAGTTTCTGCTTACGTTGTGTGAAAGGTAATCAAAAGTGACATGGAAAGAATGATTGACTTATTTTAGTGTTCATCACAGTAACATAAATATCATAATTGTCATGTGACTCTTTCTGATTTAATTTATAGCATCAAAGAAAACATTGAAAAGATCCAGAAAAGGTAAGGCTGTTGTTCGAATCTTGGTTATTTTGTTCAGATCAAAGCTTACAGATCAGCATCTACAGTGCCTCAACCTTTGTATGAAATACACAGGGTGGGCTACCCAATAAATCAAAGTCTTAGTGTCAACTAATGTGTGGACATGTTACACCACTCAGACCGTAAGGGTATCATAGGTGTAGAAAACGTTCATTTATTAAATTCCACAAGGCACATGTGCAAGATGTCAGCATCTCAAAACGATCTCCAAGCACAACACACAGACACACTTCTTCTGTTCATCTCCAGGATGAAACAATGATGAACCATCAGGTTCAAATTACCTACTGTATGGCAGTGGCTTGAAAACAAGTAAATGTTTTTAAATGTCCTTCACATTTCACTATTATAGTACACAACTTTTAACAGTAACTATTAACAGTAACCAGTTGGTTCAAAAACAGTCTATGTTACTGTATCCACATTTTAGAATTGTGCTGGTGTTGGTCAGAGTGTATTTGTTACCAATATTAGACCCGCTTCCCAACTTTTCGCAGAAGAGCCGTTACGGTGCCTCATCGGACATTTCTGGGTTAGTCGATCGGGCATTCAAGGAGCCTAGGTCTGTGATCTGTTCCCAGCTGCTGGAGGGAGAGTTTTTTAGTGATACCTGTTTCTATATAACCATCACGGTTCGTGGGGGGTGAGTCTGTTCGCGGGAAATAGCGAGGCAGATAGATGTGATGTCGCCGTAGCTTTTTACGAAGTGTGCTGTAAGCGGTAAGTTGTAAACTTACCTCCTACTAGCTGCATTTTTGAACCCAAAATTTAGAAGCGGCTTGACTAACACCCTCGTACCATAGCCGAAAAGAACGGTTTATACGATTACCTAGGGTAGGTGCCTTCTTTCGATAATGGTTAGATCCCAGCGCTTTTGTACAAGTTTGTATATGTATTGATCTCTCAGTGATTATCATTAGTATATGAAAACTACAGGCGCCGCGTACGATTATCACGTACAGGATGTCAAGAGGCGCGTTACAGGTTATCTTTGTTAGTGAGCCAAGGATCCAGGTGTGCTGCCGGAAGCTGGCAGGATGCTAACCGCACGCGGAGTACAAGGACTGAAAATCTTCCGCTGTTTGAAGGGCGCGATTTGTCTTTCAGAGCTGTCTTTTTGTCACGCCCTCTCAAAACACAATTGCAACAATACGGCATCCTTTGATATGAAATAAAATCACACGATCTTTCTCAGTCTGTTATACCTTTTGTGTAGTAAAGGATATAGTAAGGGTCGGATCTATATACATATGAAAGATTAAATAGGAACAACACTGGTACCGCTTCTAGTAGTGGGCCTTTTTGCAGGAACATAAGAAAATAGTACTAGACCGAGATACATTAAGGTAAAAACCATGTTTTGTGCTTTTAGTTATAGAGGAAGTACAGCCAATGACAAAACAAAAACTGTATAGGTGCAACACTTTTCTTTGTTGAGGGTACTGGTTGTTTATGTGACTGGATTATATGTAGACTAAGGATAAGACAGTTGTAACGGCTCACCACGTCCAATTGAATTGGAGTTGTTGTCTATTAATGGACCTCCTTGTGTCAACGTCACCTTCGTCCCTCCTACTCACGATTTCGTCTCCAGTCGCTACACTCTCGGGACCCTCGATGGAGCCAAATAGAAAAGTTTCGCTGAAGACAGAGATGTTATTCACGTAAAGCTTGTTAACCCTGCTATATCAGTAGTTGTTCACCATAGAGATACTTGATTCAACTTTTTTATTACTCAATTACTAGACATTACTGCGCTATGTCCATAACATAGTGAGACAGGCACAAAAGGAAGAGTCTAAATGGCATGGATCCAATGGATACACACAAGCTGACCGCTCACCACGAACAACACGCTTCCTCGCAAGACCAGGGCCTCGCACCATCCCATCGTCCTGAGTACCGACTACACTAGCGATCATGATGCCTACATGGATCACGCTCCTCGTCGCGACAGAGACCCGACAAACAGGTTGGTCTAGTACCGTACAGACATCAGCGTTTTTTAGCGGTGATCGAGGTCTGTGCGGGTCGACCGTAATCCCTCGAAAGAAAAAAAAAACATACAAGTTACCGTAACAAACTACTTCTTCTGGTCTCTTGGACACGCTCACTAAGTATCTGTGATGTCGTCTGGAATGTCATCAACACCATATCAAATTAACAGTTATATTGAGTGGAGGTGACGAAAGAGACGTCTAGTTAATAGCGAAACTGTGGTGGTACCACCAAAAACTCCCGTAAATTGTGTAGACTGTATAGGTACGTACATTCCTGACCAGACGATGAGCCTCTTCATAGCCGACCGAACGGAAAAACCCTCCTCAGATATAGTCTCCGTCCTTCCGTTTGATTCCTCGATATCCGATACCTAAGGGTGCTTGTACACTGTGGTCGTACTTTTTCGAGATAGGCTCTCGCAGCGTAAGTCCCGGACTTTGGCCTATCCAAACACACAATTTCGTGTACTATCACCCCAAGACGTCATTGTCTTCTTACAATCTTTCTGATTTCATGCTCATTATTTAAATTACGAGGAAGTGACATAATGTCATATGATGAGTCACCTATTGTTAGGGACCACAGTGGAAATTCAGGACTCGGGTAGTCGATTTGCCTTTGCGTTGACCTGTAGCGACCCACAGCTCGACCCGACTTTGAAGGTTGGTATTGGAACCCTTTATGGCGGGTCCCTTTTCGTTGTGTCTGCGTCTGAAGGAACAGGCGTATGGACGCTCAGTACCTTGAGATGTACTCCCTCACGTTATTCTCGTTACGGGGCTTTCACATAAACGTTATTATGAAGTGCACGTCGACTCTGTGTTTTTGATACCTACAACCTGTACCTAGAGTCGATATTTGACCGTTTCGGGTGTAAAAAGGTCCTCCATTGACGGTCTATTAGTTCGGACTTTGTAATTTTAGCCCGCGGTCCTACAATGACGTCCGGGGTCAGGAAGTTCTAGGACTGGTATAAGACCCACATGTAGTTGGACTTCTTCAACCCCTCTGTCTGTCTATGTCCTTCCGGAGTACTTGTACCTTTTGTCGGTGGTTAATTTCTTCGTTGAAACGTCCCAATCTCTGTGGTTCACTTATTACACATCCCTTTTTACTACTTAGTTGATCTAAAAGTTTTTATATATGTCTTTATATGTGACTGTAACCTTGTAGACCGCAGCAAAAATCATTTTCTGTTAAACAGTGAACTTGCGTTATTTTTTCGGAGGCGTGCACTGGGAGGGCGCACCACCTACATTTTACCCCCTATCTCGAGCCGGGCCGAGATCTGCATAACGTATTGGTACCTAAGGTGTTACGATCAAACACCTGTGTCTTCTTCCAACTTTTGAATATTATAAACTTGTATACTAAATATTAATACTTCGGGACGGAAACGGCAGAGGGTTCCTCTGGTCCTCGTCGGTTTCCTATCTTTTTATTGCCGGTAGCCCTCTCCTTTACCTCGAAACCCCACACACCTCTTGGCTCACCTCTTTGTCTCGGTCGACACTCACTGGTGCCGCAATCGGATGTCAAATTAACAATCGTGCAGCCAGTGTAGTGTTGTAACATTTCAAACGTTAGTATATAGTCCGGTAATTATTTAATCATTAACTATTATATCATTGCAATGAACCGTCCCGGACAACATGGACTACGTTATTGTCCTTTGATTACGCTTCATAGTTTCGGCATAGAGCCGCAATTGGATTACGTTGAGGGTGTGAATGTCAGAATGGGCGCACACGACACATGGCTCCCCTCTGCGCTCTATGACCGAACTATGCAACTGCTAGACCGGCCCTCTTTCCAACACTACGCGGCGGAGGGCTAGGTTATTTTGTGTGCTTCATTTAGTCTGGCTTGTTCCTCTATATTCGCCACGTGTCGGCTAACTCGTTACGTTTTACGCTTCTGTTGTCTTGGTGGTGTTGTGCGGTGGTGGCCTGGTGTTGTTTGTTTGGTGTGTCAGCTTGGTATGTTTGTGTTTCTCTGCCCGACCTTCGTCATGTCGGGTGGTGTCGCAATGGTTACGTTGGGGTGTGAGTGCAGAAATGCCAGACAACCGATGGCCTCCCTCTCTCTCTCTCGGTCGTTTCCCCCCTCTCTCTACATTTGGCCAAAAAGAACTATTCGACAACCTCTGTCTCCTCCACCGACGTCCCTTCCACCCTACGTGGTTGGCGTGTGGGTCCTTGCTGCTATCGAGGCAGGGAAAAGGGCAACTCCCTTTTGGACACCTGAAGCTACGGGACTGGTTCCCCGAACTCAAAACACGTTTGGACGTGTTTGGTGTTCGAAGTGGTACTAATGTTTACCACTTTTACGTACATTTTAAGGCCTTTATGGGGTCGAGTGAATGTTAGTGGTTGGCGAGTTTGGTTGATGTTTGTGATGGTGCGCCTAGACCCCGTCTTTGATCAGGGCTCTTTCATCGAGGGGCTACCACTGCATTATAACTGCGGCAAACCTGCATACTGCAATTTTTTTTTTCGTCAAAAAATCATCGTCTCGAGTTTTGCCGAGGAAAAGGAGACTCTAAGGACTGAATACAAACATTTTGTATAGTTTAGGACGTAATTGTAAAATTAACATTAAAAGTCCGTTCCAATTCGTATTTACATCATTTTTTTTTTTGACGTTCAACGAGAAATTCGTTGACCAATGGTACTTTAACCTTTTTTGATAAACCAAGTCCTCTCCACCCACACAACTTGCGTTTTGACGTTGTTAGCATGCCGTGTAGCACGAAGGGTCTCGGTCATGTCTCCTGACCACCATGTCCATGGGAAGTGACACTTTACCCCAGTAAAACCCCACCCTTGTTCAAAATGTGAGCGTGCTCATAACCGGACCCTACGTCTTTTCTGTAACTCAAAAAGTAGTGAGTCCCACACGTTACATTGTAGGTTTTTTTTGATGTCACGTACAGTCTCGGGGATACCACAGTACATGGACGTTATGGGGTAAACTTACCATAGGTATCTAAGTGGAAGTGGAACTTTTTTCGTCCCCTCTCCCATACTTTATTAAAATCACTATTAACTATTGGAAGTGATTTACAACGGGACCGCATAGGTTTGGCTTGTTTAGTCCATTTGACCGTCGATTCTTTTAGAAATTCCTAAAACGTAACTTTACCCCAAAAGTGACCGATTTTATGTAGTACTAGTCCCATGCTCTTAACTCTTTGTCGGAAACAGTCTGTGACGTCTTCATGAGTCCTTAGCTTTTAAGTTTTTGTTTGAGGGAATGGGTGGGTGTCCCCTGCGGCCGTCTTTCTAAATTGGGTTGAAACGAAGGGTACGACCGCCTGAAACCTACTTCTCTTTTTCCCTTGACCTCACTGTTACATTGATTTCACGATGTACCGATGTGACATGTGCGCTCACTTCATTGACCAATAAGCGGTGTAAGTAGACGAAAACCCTCTTTCAGACAGAACGGTAACCTAAATTAGAAACCTCATGAGGAGTTTTACCGTTCGTTGTTTACTTTCTCCCGAATACTGTAACCGTAGGTTTTTAATAAGGGTTTTCTCGATGTCGTCCTCCCTTTTTTTCGACACGTATTTTTTCCGTTTCACGTCACGAAAAGTGGTCCGCTGTCCCAGAACACTCCTTATACAGACTCGCACCGCCTGGGCTTTTCAATGCGAGTATGACCCTTCTATCTTTGTGTAAACATCAGGAGATCCTTTCCTCTTTCGTCGGTCAGATACTCCATTTCCGGTCTTGTACCTTGTCCTTCTTTTATCTTAGGATGTGGCGTTGTCCAACTACTGAAACCGGTGAACTCCCTTGGTCGTGTTTCGTGCCTGTTCTTTTCTTGTTAGTTTCTTTTTTCGTGTCGTCCTACGAACTTTGGTACACAATTTGGTCCCACTTTTGTCTCCTAGTCCGTTCGAGTCTACTCCTACTCATAATCACCCGATTATCCAACTCTGTAGCTGTAGTAGTCAGACTTCTCGTCCTTCGAAAGTTGGAGGTCCGGAAAAGGATTGTGTTGTGTAAGTCGGAGTTGATCTGCAACTCTGCCGTCTCGTCAAAGTCTTGCCTCTTAGGGACTGTGGAGCTTGCTCGATTGGTGTTTGACAAGTCGGACTTCTGGACGGTTTACCAAGTTCTTTATACTGGGAACACTGTGTGTTCGTTGCGTCCAGTGTCTCTCTCTTTGCTGTCGTCGTCTTTGTGACTGAATACCTCTGTAACCCCAGTAGGACAGAAGTATGGTCAGAACCACTCCCAGCAGTGTATTGGCTGGTGAATAAAATTTACGAGAACGTGGTCGTATTACCTGTTATTGTTCACCGGGACCGTTATACGGTTTCCACAAACCCTGCCATCGTACCAAGTAGGATAAGGACACAGGACATTCCTATACATGACTCTCCTTAATT